TGAGAATGATGTACAAATGCGCTTTACACAATTGATGTGTGTATGGATTGCGATAACAGTTGTATGAGCCCCTAATAAAATGTTTAAAAAAGAAAAAGATAAATAAATAGATAGATAGATAAATAAATAAATAAAATAATAATGATAAAGTTGGTGAGCATCAGGATATTTTTTTTTTGTGGGGAGGGGGGTGACAAATTGAATTGTGGTAATAGTTGCATAGCTCTGTAGATTTACATTAAATATCATTGGGTTTAAATGAGTGAATTCCATGATAAGAAAATTGTAAGTCAGTAGAGTTCTTAAATTTTTTGTAATCCGAGGGAAGAGGAGCCAACAAAAACTGATGGAAAATAAACTATTAAACTCTAGAAAGGAAATAAAGATTATATGTAGTAAAATTACTATAGAAGTAAAATGGCATTTAGAGTAGTGCAAAGTGGCTGCTGAGTCCGTGTCCAAGAGCCACAAGCTGGAGAAGATAAACTGAAGACAGAAAAACTGTCATTGAGAAAAAGAGAAGACAGACCTAGCTTTTGAGAAAACAAGAACCAGTCAGTTCTGTGATTGCCTAGTACATACTATTAATTTTTAGATATTTTATATATTTGACTAGATGAATATTTCAACATGTGTGCATTAGGTGTCTTTGAAGAGAATTAGTTAAGATAGAAAAGGACTGAAGTGTCTGTAATCTGTCCAAATAGAGAAGTAAGGCTAAAATTAAGTAAATTATAGGCATGGAATATTAAAAATATAAGTAATAAAATCAAGGGTAAGTGATGGGAAATGTGAGTATACTAATTTTTTTTGTATTAGGAAGTCAAAAGTAGTATTTAAGTCAATAAATCAAAATTACCAATTTGCTCATTTTCTAGATATTAAAGATTGGTTTCTAAATTTATCTCTGAATGTCTTCCTGGAAGTAATTTCTTATAGTGATTTACTGGTGCTCTGCTGAGAAGTTAATCATTCTCCAAGAATGTACATAAGATAGAATTAGAGAATTATGGGACCTGTGATTTTAAAAAAAAGAAAGAAAATTATGAAAGCCGGTTTAATTTAAAAAATTACTAAAACCCATTCAATTAAAAAAAAAATGTAGCTAGCCAACTCTGATAGGAAAAAAATGGCCAACTAAAAGCACCCCCGCCCCACCCCACCTCATCCCCGCCCTCCCATCAAAAGTCAGGATCTGCAGGGGACATCAAAAAGTTCATGGGAAAATTCCATTATCTTAACTTTTTTATTTTAATCATTTTATTAGAGGCTCATCCAGCTCTTAACACAATCTTATACACATACATCAATTGTGTAAAGCGCATTTGTACATTCATTGCCCTCATCATTCTCAAAACATTTGCTCTCTCCACTTAAGCTCCTCATTTTTCCCCCTCCCTCCCCGTTCCCCACTCCCTCATGTACCCTTGATAATTTATAGATTATTATTTTGTCATATTTTTTTTAAATCTCATGTGAAAGCTCTTTAATAATGCTGTATTAATTAAGCCTCTCACCTGAACAGAGGTTTTAAATGATGCAGTGGACAAAGAAGCAAATTCTGAGAAGCAATCTAGCCTCTGTAAGGGGTCCCCCAGCCATTGAATACATAGTGTGAAGTATATTTAAAGAAAATTATTTTTTGTATACCAACTGTTTACAAAGTCTTATCTTTTTTTATATATAATCATTTTATTAGAGGCTCATACAACTCGTCACAATCCATACATACATCAATTGTGTAAAACGCATTTGTATATTCATTGTCCTCATCATTCTCAAAACATTTCCTCTCCACTTAAGCCCCCGGCATTAGGTCCTCATTTTCCCCTCCCTCCCCGCTCCCCCCGAAAAGTGTATATTCTATTTAGCCCTCCCAAACCCACTCTTCTCATCTGTGACATACTGTGGACACGAGGACAGAGCCAGATGCACAGTGCTTGCTTGCGTGCAGTGCCCACATGCACTCGGTAAAAGGCAGTTATTCTCATTCATGAACCTGCTCCCCGGCCAGAACAGTGTGATGTGCAGTGTGAGGGTAGGGATTTGAAACCCCTCAGGATATACTGGGTTTTTTCTCTGGAGCTTGCTGCAGTGTTACAGTGGCTAACTTAGGCGCATCTGCTCCTGCTCCGCGTTTGGTCTGTACAGCCATTTCCCCTCTCTGCATTTACCCTTTGAGATAAGGATGAGGCCAAAGGGGCACTGGGACTCTGGTGTGCACCTAAAGGGAAGTGTGGCAACCTTGACACTCAAGAGTCCTGGCAAAATTGTAAAAAAAAAAATGTAATTCCTCTCATTTTCCCCTGAAATTTCCTGTTCACGATCGGAACAGTATCTCTTTCATCAAAGACCAGCTCGCTCCATCTGCTACAGCGTAAGAGCTGACCCAGACCCCGGTTTCCACTCATCACCATCCCGCCAAGAGTTGGCCGCCTGGGGACTTCCAAGGGGCGTAGACCACCATGGAAGCTCCTGGCTTGGGGAGCCTTTTCTTTTAGGGGGGCTTTGTCGTTCTTGGAGCCTTTCATGCTGTTTGACTAATGCCGACTGTCCGTCATGCCCAGTACTCGCAGTAGCTTCTCCCATGAATTAAGTCAGCTTGCACATCGGTCATATTCAGGTTTTTGTGAGAAATAAGCAGAGACTGCTCTGAAAGTAATGTTTTTTAAATGTTTCCTTTTTCCCCTAGATTTCTTTTTCCTAAATGCCTTGACCAGTGTTCGCAAGGTAAGCAGCATACATTACTTTCTGTTACCTGCCATTCACATTCTGTGTAGATGCAAAAGAATTTTCTTCCTGCTTCTACCTACCATCCTAATATCTAAAAGAAACGAAATTGCCTTGGGGAAAACTTGAGCATATTTTACCTTTTTTAAAAATCATTTTATTGGGGGCTCATACAACTCTTATCACAATCTATACATACATCCATCGTGTCAAGCACATTTGTACATTTGATGCCATCATCATTCTCAAAACATTTTCTTTCTACTTGAGCCCTTGGTATCAACTTCTCATTTTTTCCCATCCCTCTCCCACCCTCGCTCCCTCCCTCCGTCATGAACCCTTGATAATTTATAAAATTTCTTTTCTTGTCTTATACTGACTGCTGTCTTCCTTCACTCACTTTTCTGTTGTCCACCCCCCTGGGAGAGGGTTATATGTAGATCATTGTGATTGGTTCTCCCTTTCTCCCCCCACCTCCCCCTTCCCCTCCTGGTATGTCTACTCTCAATATTGGTCCTGAGGGCTTTATCTGTCCTGGGTTCCCTGTGTTTCCAGCTCTTATCGGTACCAGTGTACAGAGCATATGTTACTTTTATCATATTTGAGAGGCAGGCTTCTTCCAAGAGTTTGTTGATTAATGGCAGTAAATTGCCATGACCGCACCTCTGTAGAATGGGTGTAAGACTGCCCTGCCCTTGTAACAAACACCACTGAGGAGGTACTTCCAGCCTCTGGGTCAACAAGGTCTTCATGTGTTCTCTTGCCCCAAGAGTGCACAGTGTGTCCAGCAGGACCTGCCTCCCTGAAGCTCTCCCTGATGCACATTGGAATTGTCCACACCTCCCTGATAACGGTCATAAAAACCCACCCGTTTGGTGGGTTGCACTCAACTGCACATTGGTCCTCCTTCCTATCTGGCAGCCCTGGGAGCAGCACTTTTTAGTCATAATATATATGGTGGCTGGACACTCCCAGAATAAATTCTAAGTTCCCTATAGTATGAAATACTCATTGTTGTCAGAAGATGTACCTAGGGTCTGGGCTACCTGAGCCAGCCCAGTAAGCAGAAATCAGCAGGCAAAAAACAACTTCTTGTCCCCCGGGTCGTTTGGCCCTGCTGATCCCATTGCCCGTCCACAGGAAGTAGAGACAACAGAGCATTCCAGAGCTGTTGTCTTGAGCAGCCCAGGGCAGGAGGCCAGCCCACTGAAGGGACAAGTGTGCATGGTGGACTGCTATGCCAGGTAGTCTCAGCCCTGCTTTCAGAAGCTGCTGTTGCTTTCCAGGCAGTACACCCCAAAGAAGGGTGGGCTGGTGGCTGGCTAGGCCCCTGCAGTTAGGCACCCCAGGTAAATTAGGGAGATTTTTATAGCAAATGAATCAGGAGGATCTGGTAACAGATGCGATTCGGAGGCATGAGGGAGAAGGCACTATCTGGGTGACACCTATGTGTCCAGCCTGGGAGAGTGGGAAGGTTGATAGGACCTAGCCTCGAAATAGCATGGAAGGAGGGGGAGATTGGAGATGACATGTGTGCTTTTGACGGGACTGGGGTAGGGGCATGGAAGAGGGGGAATCCAATGGATGGTTGGCTCTGTAAATTCAGAACTGAGGAAAGCTGTCTGATGCTTAGGTGCATGTTTGGAAATCATGATCATAGCCATGACTGTGGTCAGCTGGTGGCTGGCCAGGTGCAGAGGTGAAATGGACCGAAAGTCAGAAATGTGGGGGGAGAGAAGTCCAGAGACTAAAGGAGGGAGCAGCAGGAAAGAGCAAAGCCCAGGCGCTCGGAAAGAGAAGCAAAGAGCTCAGTGGTATTGACTGTGGCAGAGATCTTAGGGGAGAATGCAAACGTCTGTGACTTGCCAGTGTGAAGGACCCGGGAGCTCCATAGGAGTCTGAGTGGAGCCATGTTGCCACAGCCCGGTCTGAGTGGGCCGGTGACAGCAAGGCACAGGAGCCAGCGCACATGGATGCTGTTTGAGGGTAGACAGGGTGATAACAGAGAAGAAAAGGTAATAGATAGAAGGGAATGGTTTCCAAGAGGGAAAGAATTGCACATCTTTATGTTCTGAGGAAGAGTGGGTAAAGCCCTGGACAGTTGGCTGAAAGGGGGATGGTTTGAATTGCCAGCTGCCCCCCAGAAAAAGAGGCTTCTATAAAAATGTATGGCGTGGGAACCCCTGTGGAGCATTTCTCCTTTGCTCTCTCAGGTCCCTGGGAATGGGAGTCACACACGCAACAGCAGGAGTTTAGGTTTGGAGAAAGCCTGTGAGCTAGAGGGAGACATTAGGCATGATGGAGTGTGGCCTGAGGAGGGTGTGGTGTGGGGTCTGGAAGCTCAGACTGGGAGTAGTGAAGCTGAACTTGGAGGAAGCGGTGGGAGGAAAAGTTGAGGAAGTGTTTGGTTAATAGCCTCTTTGACAGTACTGGCCAATACTTATAGCTGGAGTTTTGCTCAGCTGTCCAACCCTGGGCCATGTCTTACTCTAATTAACACTGATGCCCCCTCTTCCATTCAGAGCCTCGCATCAAGTGCATGATCATGGCTAAGCCATCCCTTGGCTCTTCAGCACCTTTGCCTCAGGGCCTATCTGCTTTTCTGCAGGCGGGGAGAAGCACAGATGGTCAGGCTACCTTGAGAAACCGAGCCCTGAGGGAGTGCTGTCTTCACTGCCCTGCCCGTGAACTTGGGACAGGCCAAGAGAAAAGCCCCTTTGAGCTGGAACGCTTTTGCCAGCACTGACCGTGTTCCCTCTGGCACTTGGTGTAGGCACGTTTCATTAACACTTCCATCCAATTCATTGTTCAAAGGAAACCTGTTCTCCAGTTCTAAGCTTACATAAAGCCAGGGCTGTGGTGAGCTATGACAGAGGCCCTTGCGGCTGCATGTCTGGTTCCTAAACTCCCGAGGGAGGGTGGGTCAGTCTGGTCTGACTACCTCTTCCCCTTGCATCTGGGCCCCGGGAACCAAGAGGCTAATCTGACCCGGCTTGCCATGGCCATGGGCTGCTCGGCAGGGAAGAGATCAAAGACAAGCATTTCTTCTTTCCCAGGAGATTTGACGGCTTACTTGGTAGTGGGATCTGCCACCAGTCGACAGGCTCTTCAAGTCCCTTTCAAAAGTCAGCCTCCCTGATACAGGCTTTTGACATTAAAGGTTTATTCCATAATGGGGGAGGGGCTGTGTTGCAGGCCCAAGATGATCTGAGGACTGGGAGACAGTCTCCGTGCTTAAAAAGCAAGCGAGGCTTATCATAGCACTCACTTGAAAGAGTGAAGACATTTTACCACCCTGCTCTGCTTTTAGAAGTATCTGTAGATAGACAAAAGGAGTGAGCTTTGTTTTCTCCTGGGCTGCTAGAAAGCCTTTCATCCTAAAATGGTCTGACAGACCTGATATGGTCCTCCGCCTTTGGGAGTGGGCCAGGGCAGGCTGCCTGCTTTACTAACCACCCGGTCTAGTGAGAGCTTGGCTAGATCTAGGGTCCCACTCCTTGAGACAGAACAGAAGGAAGCTCCCGGCCCAAACACGGTGAAACCGCCCGCCGTGGCCGCTTCCCCCTGTGCTCCAGATAGCTGTCGTACCTGCCTCAGAGTTGGCATTTCCTCTTGGCAGGTGACAGTTTACTTAGCTGGCCTGAGGAATGCTGGGGATAATCCTCTGGCTTGTTTGCCTACAAGGCAAAACCCTTTCCATCTGCACAGTTCCTCCAGGCTGTGTCCATTTGGTACTCATGCAGCAGACAGGACTTAGGGCCAGCTGTCTGTCGAAGACCCAGACGCCAGTCTTCTCTTACACGGCCTGGCCTGCACTGTGACCTTGCTGTGTACTGCTTGAGTTAGCATGTTTAAATTGGTCTGACTCCACACTTCTGTTTGCCCAAGAATGTACCAAACAAGAGCCTCAAGGCCTTTATAAGTCTCCTCTCAGCCTTTCCTGGCTCCTCACTGCAAGAGCCACCATGACTGTTCTTATCTTCCACCCCTGGGAATCTCGGGCTCTTTGCAGGATCTGGATCCCCGGTCTGCCACCTCCGGAATGTGCTGAGCCTTCTAGGATCCTGCCTGCTTCCCCACTGTGCCACATTCTGGACCTGGCCTCATCTTACTCAGTTTCACTTCCTGTGGCTTCACCAGGCCACAGGGTTCTGGCAGCAGGCCCTTCAGACTGGCCTCTCTACCTCCTCCCCTGCAGCCTCCAGGGTGCCCTTTCCAAACGGGCATGGGAGCACAGGCCTCACCAGTGTCACCTTCCTCAGGGCACTGTGGCCAAGGAAGTTCCATCATCACGTTAAAGCTTCTGAACAGGAAGAATGTGTGAGGAATTGTTTTAAAGTTGAGTCAACACAGTTCTGAAGCCTTCTCCATTTAAATTCCTTTAGTCATATGCTGTTACCACAACTAGGTCATCCAGGTGACCTTGAGGATAGAGGTTTTGAGCTCTTCAGAAAACTTGACTCTGCGTATTCCTGGTTCCTATGTGTGCACAGTGTCCAAGGAAAAACACCCCAAAAGCTGGTTATCAGCTGGGGAAACGTACTAGATCCCAGGGTACCAGAGGAGGAAGGAGGGAGATGGCTTTTTACTGAATACCATTTTGCACGCCAAAAAAAAACAATTTACCAATGAAAAATCAGTTGTTTAAAAGTTGAGAATACATTAAGATATAAACATATGTCTGAGAAACCTTTTAAGCAGCCGCAGGGGTCAGGTTGTGTGTGTCCTGTTAGACCTGGTTCACTCATTCATTTATTCACCAATCCTGATCCTACTCCTGCTCTAGCCTAGTCCTGGAGAATTAGGAACTGCTTCCCAGAGGAGGTGCTAGTCAAGGTGCCCGCACTCAGGGAGGATGGGGAAAGGTGGCTCCAGGCAAGAGACCAGCAAGAGTGGAGGCCACTCGGTGACGCCAGCATGCACAGGCCTTTGAGGAAGACAGTGTGGCAGAGAGGTCAGGCCAAGCCAAGAGGAAGCTGAACCCAGTGGAATACTGTAAGAAGGGAAGTCACGTGATTGGGTTCGTGCTTTTGAAAGGTGGTTCTGCCTACAGTGGGAAGATTGGATTGCAGGAAAGAAAACCTGGAAGTAGAGACTGAGCAGTGAAGACAAGAGTAAAGGTCCTGATGAAGCAAGTGGGAGAGGGGTTGGGGGTGGGGGGAGAATGACTCCCAGAGCTTTTGTATCCCCTGCCTTGTTGAGGGCTGATGTGTGGGAGGAGAGGGAGGACTGAGAGGTAACTCCACAGCCCAGAAGACCTCTGACCAAGAGGCCAAAGGAGGAGGAGGAGCTGCAGCCCCTCCTTGGATGTCAGGAGAAAGCTGCTGAGGACAGAGACCTTATCTGCCTAAGGTTGACATACCTGCTTTGTAGTACTAGCAAGCACCTGAGAAGAGTAGGGCCCATGTCTCAAGTCAAGAGGTAAGTCGACCCAAAACGGACCACTTAGGGAGCCGGTTCTGACAGCTCCCAACATAATGCATCGTTGCCTTTGCGTGTGCCCTTCTCCCCACTATAACGTGACCAGTCTTTATAGGTTTGGCACACTCTCTTTCTGTGTATGTATGGTTGGTGGAAGGACGTAGGCAGGAGGCCAGGAGACCTGGAAGTTGCCTTCAAACTAGTGATTGCCACTCATCTTCTGTGCCATGGGCTTGGCCTCCCACTTGACTTGGCCTCCCACTGTTTGAGATGGCTGAGGCCCTCTTTGCCATAGACCCCACTGTCTATGTGAAGAATGGATCAGTCCAGGCCCCTTGTACACAGGGGTAAGTCCTGTCCTCTGACTAGTGCTCACTTTGCAGCAGCAGTGGTGGTGATAGGTTGCACTTCAGGGAGTTGTTACCATGTGTAGACCCTATAATAGCACTTTTCTGATAGCCTGAAGGTCAGTGTTAATGTTCTTACTTATCAGAAGATGAAATTCAGACTCGGAGAGAAGGTTGGGCATTTTGCCTCCTATTACCATTGGTTATGAAGGAAGCCCTAAATTCAGACTCTTTGTTCCCTGGGCCCAGAAACCTTGCTCTTAGTCTCCACATTATGCTGTTTTTCATATATACGAAGAAGTTGAGTCTTGTTTTATGTATGCTGCCCCTGTTACTCAAAGAGCTTTCGTCTTCCGACAAAGTGAGAGAGCAAGGTGGCATGCAGAGCATGTGGGGATGGGGGTATTAGGGAAGGTTTTAAGAAAGAATAAGATTCACCACAATTAAAAAGTTAAAAGCTTAGGTGAGACAAACAAGGCTCAGACCAGTATGTGTAGTCTGCCACTACTTGGGGGGGGGGGGCAGCGGGGCAGACTAGCCACACGTGCTTGACTCCCCCATCACCTGTTCCCATCCTTGGAGGCAGTCAGCTTCAGCAGCTCTGGGGAAGAAGTTGGAAGAACTTGACAACTGCGGTTGCCTTCAGAGAGGCAACACGATAGCTGAAGAGAAAAAGAAATGATTTTCTCTGTGAACCCTTTATATGTACATGGCGAGTTTTGTTCTCCCAAAAAACTGAATCTAAGAAAACTAAACCTTGGCTAGAGTAAATCATGTTAAGTACAGAAAGGCTGTTCATTATTCAGGATTCCACATGTATAGGAGCCCTGGTGGCACCGTGGGATAAGCATTGGGTTGGTGACTTCTGTGTCCACCACTGAGGAGCCTGCAGGACTCGGAGGTGGGGGTTATCTGGCATTGCCCCGCTCACCCTCCACCCACCCCAGCTCCATAGCCACACACAGCACCCATCTCTCCCACTTCCACCTTCCTTCGCTGACCACGCCCCATCCCCAGTACCTTTGGCCCTCCCCTGGCCAACCTGAGACCTCATGTCATCCTGTCATCTCCCTGTACCCCCATGGCCACACCAATACACCACAGAGAAATGGGAGGTGCCCCATGGCCAGGTGGCAGCAGTCCCTCATACAGCCTGGCCATCACCTCTGCAAATTGTACTGTTCTCGCCTGGTTCTCAGGCTTGGTGAATAGCGTGGTGTTGTTCACCAGTATATCTTTTGAAATGGCCCATGGAGGGAACCCTGGCCCGGCCACAGTCCAGGGTTCTAAGGCCATCGAAAACACTGCCTGCAAGTTTTTTCAAAGTTATCCTAGATGTGAAATGTCAATTAGTGAGCTTGTAAATAAATGAAGAATCGTAGTATAATTATGTTGAACTGGTGGAATGTCATCATCTTACTGATTTCCAAATGTTCTGTAGTGTGTAGTTCCACCAGAAAGTCGAGCGTGGTCGTGGCCCACTCCGTAGCCACTCCTTCCGTGGCCTTCCCAGCCTTCCCCAGGCACCTTGGGAGGAGCCTGTGTGTTAGCCCTTGTCTGGGAACGGCAGTTCTACAGTGACCTACCTGGCCATGGGCCCGTTGAGAGCATACTGGTTAGAGCCTGACATTGGTTAGTGTTTAGTCACTGTCTGTGTCTGAACTGGTGACAGTCAGCAGGTGCTAATGAGTTAAGAGGCTGTGACAAGAGCCCTTTGACAGAAGAGGTGCTCTTATCAGCCAGAAAGCAGAGTTAAGATAAAAGCGCTTAGGAGGTAAGGTCATTGCAGAGTTAAGGCTATTCTTCACAGAAGGCGGCAGTGCCAGGATGGAGAGCAAATGATGTCTGTGTCTGTCGGTGCTGTGGTGTAAGTGTGTCTGTACACGGAGGATCCTTGAGAAGAAAGGAAAGACAGTGGGGGGCTCAGGGGAGAAAGCAAGGGTCCACATCCGTGTGAGCCCTTGGCCCCAGTCACAACTCTGCAGACTGAACGGTCCTCTGTCTGGTCCCCAGGCTTGGTGAATAACGTGGTGTTTACCAGTCACACTGTGGAACAGAGGCACCCCCTCCTTGTTCAGCTGCAGAGCCTCATCAGGGCAGCGAATCCTACCGCAGCCTTCATTCTCGCCGAGAATGGGATCGTCACCAGGTAAACGCTTCCACAGACCACCCCACCCCACTGGCTACTGACCTGCAGTGCTCTGACGCTCAGCGACTTCTCGCGGTATCTTAGACCTGAGCACGGAATCCTCTAGAAACCCATTTCCTTCAACCAAGTGGGGTGGAGGCTCTGTGAAAATCACCAAGGAGACACAGGGCGTCAGTATCCTATACCATTTTTTCCCATTGGTTTTTTGAAGTGTACTTTTTATCCATTAAAGGATGGAAGTCAAGAGCCTCTCACTGTTCCGTGTGGTACCGTGTGAGAGAAAATGTCTCTCACATTTGAAATATGGTTAGCTCTTTTGCTTCAGAAATGTGGGTCTATGAACACAGCATCACCTGTGTTTGTAGCCAAAAGAGAGAAGTTGGTGATTTGGGGCATGTGTGTATTTGGACATGAAGAAAATACCATACGTGGTCATTTACCCGTTTTGTTTGCTCAGTCAGAAAATGTGCAGGTCGAGATTTTACATAAACTTTGCTATTAAACTGTACAATTATTTTACATATTCCGAAGTACATCAATAGGAGGGGAAAAATAAATACAAATAACAGATCTTTTTCATATATCAAAAGTGACCACATAATCACATACACAAAAATAATCCAAGTAACTTTTGATCATGAGCCTCTCTTAGACCCTAATTTCAAATAACATCACAAATGAACAAGAAGAGTTATAAATATGAAGTAGGGTATATAATGAAAAAAACCCTGAAAATGCTGGGTTTAAATTGGGGGAGTCAAATATAAATTCATGAATTAAAAAAATTCACATGTATGTAATGTGTATACCTGGCCTTCAAACCTTGGTTTCTAAGTCCCATTCCCTGCTAAAAGGAATCAGGACTTCTTGGAGAATTGACTGAGCACAGATCTAGGGCATGGGAAGTAGAGGGTGAGTCTGATACACTAATGGCCCCCCCAAAAAAGAAGAGTACTCAAAATTAATAGAGGCTTGTCAGAGGGGTATGGGAATACTCTTAAGAAGCTCCCAGTAGGAAACTTGGGGAGAATGTGAATATGAAAATGGACCATGACAGTAATGGGATATAACCTGGAATCAAATGAGTCTGTGGTGATGTTTTTAAAATACGGAGATGCAGAATAAGAAAGCTTTTCTTTACAGAGGAGTGTCAACTTGACTAATCGATCGGGATCGATAGGATTAGACAAGCACCAGTTTCTAATCTTCGGTGCAGTTGGCTGAGGCAAGGATTAGCAGTGGATGCTAAAGGCAGTGCGTGAACGTGCATTGAGAAGGGGAATATTAACTAATTTGGAACCATTACTCCATATTAATTACCAAGGGGGAGTGGACCATACTGTGGAGAGGTCTAGTAGACCGTGTATTGCTCAAATGATTAAACTCAGCAATACAAATTAGGGGACAAATTGACACCATTTGCACCATGTGGTGCAGGGGGAAGGACCCAGCATCACCTGTGTACTAGTCTTGTCAAAATGTTTGCCCATTCAGATAAATCCAGGGCCATAGGACACAAGAGCACCCACCTAGCACATACTGTCTTAAAATGTCAATGCTATGAGCCCCCCAAAAAAGCAAGCCCGCCTCCAGAGTCAATTCTGACTCGCAGCTACCCTAGAGGGCAGGGCAGAAATACCCCTTTGGGGTTTCCACGGCTGTAAATCTTTATGGGAGCAGAAAGCCTCATCTTTCTCCCGCAGAGCTGATGATGAGTTCAAACTGTTGGCCTCGTGGTTAGCAGCTCAACACGTAATCTGCTACGATACCAGACCTTCTAGTGGCCATGACAACTACCTACTCCCCCTGCGCTCGCCACAAAGAAAACAAAAGGAAATTTTCTAGAATAAAGGCTCATAAAGATTGTAATTCAGTGAGTGATTCTCATTGAAAAGGGCTGTATGCTAAATTATTGCTTCTTCAATTTTATTGTTTATGTACATCTCCTGAGGATCTTATTAAAATGAGGAGTTGATTCAGCAGATCTGGGTTGGGACTTGAGACTTCATTTCTAACAAGCTCCCACGTAACAATGAATCTGCTGGACTGCAGTATTACATTCCTGGAGGGCAATGATAGCATTGTGACAGTGTAGGAGAATGTCCTGGGTCTCGGGAGATGCATATGGAAATAATTAGGAGTGACACATCATGAAGCCTACAACCATGTCAAGTGCACACTTTTACACATGTATATGCGTAGATACTCAATCCTAACTCTACTGCCATCCAGCCCATTCTGACCCATAGCAACCCTAGATAGGATGCAAACCACAAGCCGAGATTGCTAGGCCTAATTAACCTGGGTCTTTTGTTTGCATTCAAAGGAATGAAGACATTGAACTGATCCTCTCAGAAAATAGTTTTTCAAGTCCTCAGATGCTACGCGCTCGATATTTAATGTACCCTGGCTGGCAAGTATCACTATTGAACAGTATCTAAGATTTCTTTGTAAATCCAATGTTTTGTTTACAGAGGAAGAAAAAGTATAAAAATAAAAAGCTCCCGTGTGCTTTCCACAGGGTGGCCCGGCCCGGCCTGCCATGTTCAGTCTCACAGGAGCCCAGCACTCTACACATTGGGCTCCAGCACGGGAGCTTGCCGGCTTGGGGAGAGTTAGGAAGTCATCCTGTGGGTACCAAGCACAGCAGTAGCCCCAGTGAGGGCGAGGTGGCAGGCACGGAACAGAGGAGTGAAAGCCTTCCTGGGTGGGAACCATCAGTTCATCGTCTGGGGCGCTCTGAGAAGCAAGTTCCCTGCTGGTGTGGTCCAGGGCATGTTTTCTTCCCTGTGGGCTCCACAACCTGTGACCTTCTCCTCTAGAGGGGGAGGGGAGAAGAAAGGGTGCCACAGGGCCTGTAGTAGTGCTAATAGCTGCACCGCTTCAGCACTTTATTAATTTTAAATTAACAAAAATTGAATGAAAAATTCAGTCCCATAAGCCATATTTCATTCAAATCCTGAGTAGCCATATGTGCCTAGCCGCTATTGTATTGGCCAATGCAGGCCCAGAACATGCCCACCATCATAGACAGAAGGTGGTATTGGAAAATCATGTTTTAAGTGCTTTGCCTGCATTTGTCCTCACACCAAGCCAACGAGGTAGATTGCATTGCCTTCCTCATTTTGCAGCTAGGGAACCTGAGCAACAAGGAGGTAAAGACTTGTCCGTCATATATCTCATACCCGCCAGAGCTGGATTTCAAGCCAGGCTGTGTTGCTCACTCACTGTATAGAATGAATAACTACTTTCTGCTCTCTGAAAGTTTTAAGAGTCGACAGTCAATTAAAAATTGGCCAAATTTAAAGGACCATGTTTACTTGAATTCTTTTGTTAGCCTTACTCATGTCCCCTAGACCTCTCCCTCTTTCCTCTACACTCTCCCATAACCACCAGTTGTTTGGATTGAAAAAAATACTGGTGGTGCTTTGCTATATAAAATCCCAAAGAGTCCATGTGTAAAATCAGGATTTGGGGGACATCTTCGTAGAAAGCACCTCTGAGGTGGGTCACACCATACTTGCAAGCGCTGGGAAAGTGGGCCCTTCCTTAGGCGGACACAAGATGATTATAGCTTAGCTGAAAAGAAACGTGGCACTGCTGGGCCAAGCATCTCTCTGGCACTACAGTTATACTGACCCTTTTACCACCTGTACTTGGGGCCTGGGCCTCAGACTACTCCAGTCACCTTGCTGACTCCTTTTGGCCTGGCTCAGGACAGTAGACTGGTCTGGGAGAGAGCAGGAGATAAGGACCTCTTTAAAATGCGAGAAACCTCGCTGGCTGCCCTTGACTCAGAGTTCCACAGGGTGGAATGCTCCTGTGAGTGTCGAAACTAACTGTTGACAGAGTAGAAAGCCCTGTCTTTCTCCTAAAGACCTCTTCAGAAGACTGCAGTCTAGTGCCTGGATCCTTTCCCTTGTCAGGAAATAGTTCAGTCCTCATGAAAAATCGGAGATAAAAGGACCTCAAAGTCAACCCTTCAATAAGCTAGTCACTAAAGCCAAAAACCAGACCCATTGCCACCAAGTTAATTCCAACTCCTTGTGACCCTCTCGGAGTGGGTAGAACTGCCCCACAGGCCTCCCAAGGCTGTACTCTCTGGGGAAGCTGACTGCCTCATATTTCTCCTGTGGAGCCGCTGCTGGGTCTGAACCACCAGCCTTTAACCACTGTGCCACCAGGGACCCCTTAGTTACATATGCTCTTTAAGTATGAAATAATCCCACTTTTATGAACTATCTAGATGAAGTGAGTCTGTAGAGGTCAAAGGTGAAGAGTGGGTACCAGTAGTGGGAAAAAGATGTAACACTGAGCTTGGGGGGGCGGGGGGTTTGATGGAAAAATTAAGCAGTGGTTCCTGGTGATGATTGAACAGCATGGTAAACACATTTCATGTCATTGAGGTGTTCATCCCAAGATTGCTGAAATGGCCAATCTTTTGTCCCTACATAGTTATCGCTCAGAAGAAATCACCCATCAGGGTCCCTTTGGGGAATGCGATCACTTAATCTTTTTAGCACGGTGACAGTGATCAGTCGTCCCCTACTTGTCCCACCACCTCAGAAGGAATGGCTTTAGTTCCAGGATGTGCTCGGCTCTGTGTTGTGCACAGTTTCTCAGCCCTTCCCATCCCTTGGCCCTCTCTGTTCTCCTCCCCCTACCATCCCCTTCCTAGCACGGGGGGCATCCTGCTCTCTTCCCCTCACCCCTGGGAGCTCGGGTCCACACCTCCCTGTGATGGCTGGAGGGCTGTAAGAAAAGCATGTGTCTCGCAGAAACGCTACGCCACCACCTTACTGTAGAGAGATGGCAAAGAGGAAGATCCTTTGAATGACACGCATTTCAAAACCTCAGGGCTGCACGGAGGACCAAGCCACTGGTAGAGGAAGAAGACAGGCTGCCACCCACCTGGGGGCAGAGGCCAAGTGTAGGCAGCACAGAAAAAGAAGATACAGTAGACTGGAGGAACGTGTTTGCATCAGATGTGGCTAAATCACCAGGTCCACAGAGACAGAGACAAAGGGCTCATCTAATCTAAGAGCGGCCATCTACTGCTGGGGCGGTATAAGTTGTTGCCCATGAGAAGGACAGTCTCTTCCCCTCTCCCCCAAGGGATTCCAGTCACAAGGCTTCAACTCAGGGTAATAGCTCAAAAAGAAGAAGGAATGACTAGTTCATTCTGTAGATGCTGTATGGGGGGGTAGACGCAGCTACGTTTTTTTCAATTTCTCTGGATATAACCATGTTCCTGACAACCCTGCGGCAGGCAGTACGAGGGGGCTTCTAACAGTCCGTGGGGAAATGCAACTGCAAGACAGTGGAATGTTTCCAGGGACGTTTAAAGTCTCCTCATATATCTGCTGATCTCAACGCTGAGAACCTCAAGCAGTTTCTCACGTGAAAGGCCTTTTCATTTCTTCTGGAAAGAGTGTACACATTCACATACGCAGCCTCTGTTGAGCTGCCCACAATGAGATGGCAAGTGCAGAGGAACGAGTAGGAAGATCTGCTGAGCAAGAGCTCCGATGGACCAGCAGGGACCCCAGCTTCAACGGGAGGCACTAGCAGGCTTCCAGGGAAGAGAGGGCCTGTGCTTTCAGGGAACTTCTTGTCTGAGGGATAAAGCCGCCTTCCTCAGAAAGCCCTTGCTCTAATGTTTCATAATCTCAGGATGAGAGAGGTGTGTACACATTGAATGCGAGTTTTGTGGCCACACAAATGAGGGAATTCAGATAATATATGGAACCCATCCCAGAATAGTATATAATGACACTGAAGCCCCTATTACTTATACTTAAGATGTTTTAAACCTTTTCAGGTATGAAGGTAAATTTGATTCTGGGTCAGTCTTTCCACTAATGGTTCAGATCTGCGTGTGGTTTGCTCGGCCCTTGGAGAAGACTCGCTTTGTGGCCAAATGCAAAGGTAAGCTTTGGCCACCGTGTGCCCTACACCCTGGTGCAGGGACGCCCCGAAGTGTCTATTCCTGACACTGTTTCCGTCTTCCGTTTGTTGTCTCCCTTCTGGACCACATAAGAACATAAGCAGGCAGAGAGATTGGAGGACCAAGGAGTCCTCCTACCTCTGATCTTGGGCGGCCATTCAGTTTGATCACCACTCCCTTGAAAGAGTTTCCCCACTCCTGGGAGCAGTGGAAGGGCCCTTGGAGAAGACTGGGAATTGGGGATACAGCCCCTGAACCTTGGGTCCTAGAGTAGGGTTTCTCCCCAGCCCCCAGCCTTCCCAGCTACGCCGCCCTGAACTTGGTATTTGCTCCTGGGTGGGTGACAGCCTTGTTCCTCTTCCTCCACCAGCAATTCAGTCCTCCATCAAGCCAAGTCCCTTCTCTGGAAACATCTACCACATCCTGGGCAAAGTGAAGTTTTCAGGTAACTGGGGGGATTGGATTTGGGGACAGTGTTCTGTGAAGAGCTCAGATCTCATACCACACACCGCCGCCACCACTGACCCCACCCCAGCTGCACTTCTGAAAGATTCAGAATCTGCCAAGTTCACAGCCGCCCTGAGTGATCTGCAGACCACCGGTGCCTCCCCGCTCTCCCTCAGAAGCCCACCCTCCTGCTGGGGGGCTTCTCCAGGTGCTCGTCTCCCCTCAGCCAAGGACTCACCTTTCTCCGTAGTCATAGTCATCCTGCTCCGCAGCGGAGGACTTGCCCCTTCCTCTGGACAACCTGCCCGGGCCTCCCTTTGACTTCCGGGTCTCAGAGACTCACCCCACCCTTCTTGAGCCCCCATAGCTTCTGTCGCCGGGAGCGAGCGCACCGCGGAGCTCCTGTCCCTTTTCAAGCCGAGCCGCCAGGCTTCCACATGCCATCTCCTCTGTCCAGTGGGCATGCCGAAGCCTCAGCTATTTGAAGTCATTGTGACCTATTAATTTGTCCCAGTCTGAGAATCAGGGAAGGTCTCGAAAACAAGTAGAAACTGGTGAAATGAAGGTTGAGAAAGAGACGATTTGAAGGGAAGCAGCATGTGCTGTGGTCCTGAGGCAGAAAGGGCACATTTGAGGCGCCAAAAGGAGTTTACTCGGATTGGGGCCCAGGGGTCGGAGGGAGTGTGTTCATCAGGACATACATATTCAGCTATTAGAACAGAAAACCCCACTCCAACCGGCAGAGTGGTGGATACGTAACAGGAAGGAGAGCAGTCAGGCAGCTGAGCAACCTGGAGACCCAGGAAGTGTGTGCTCACTTTGTGTCACTTAGTCCTCGAGCTGCCACCCCGCGTGACTGCCAAGCTGCCAGAGCAGTCCGGCTGTCCCATCAGACACGGCTCTGGATGTTGCAAGGAGAACCATACAGAGCCCTCTCCCTGAAACCCCTGTCCCCACAATTCCTCAGCAGGCTCCTCTCACTAACCAGGGTTCTGGTGTCATGCCTTCCTGAGCTCATCACCCAAGGGATTTGGAATTAAGGGCAGAGGGGCTACTGGGTCGTCATCTGGAAGGAGCTACTGGGGGGTTTGAGCATGGCACTGTCATGGTTCAGATGGGAGAACCAATGACCTATAGAAAAGAACGTCTAGGCCCTTAGCACATACCTGGTGCTTCAGGTGTGTTTATTGAAACTGAAACATCGGCCCTCTCCTGCCCCTTAGTCAAGCCCACTTCTCTGGGTCTCCAGCAGACAGCCCTGGCCTGGTTCAGGGACCCAAATGCCTTTATTCTCCTTCCGGCCACATTCGCACCCATCATCACCTCTTTTTCTTCTCTTGTGTGAGCATGTCTATATGTCTGTCTACCTGCTTTGCCAGTGACGACAGGCTGAACCTCAAACTTCCAGGCAGCCATTAGGCAGCTTATATTGAGACACACACACCCTCTGGTATCAACCATTCCATCTTCCATCTATGTTGAGGCTCAACACACAAGATGCTTACACAGTTGGCACAGCGAAAGCCAGTATAATTATTTATAGAAAGCAAATGGTAGACAAGGAGAGATGTTCACCCTTCCCCAAATTACCCATGTCCTTTTTTTTTTAGTTGGGATTTAATACATATATCATTTCATATTTCAATCATGTCAAGTAGAATGTACAATTGCTACCGCAGTTTCCAAACATTCTTTTTTCTACATGGACTCCTTCACGTCTTCTCCCTTTTGCCCGTCCTCAACCACTGTACTCCCGCTCCCCTGAAACTCGCATTCTACTTCCTGTCCCTCTAGGGACATCAGTCCTGGGTTTCATATACCAAAAGAACAAAAAAGTCTGTAACACAGCTTCAACAAGGTGACCTCCATTGATTTGATACCTCTGAGATACACTCTTAATATGAACAAACAAAAACTAAGGAACATAATACAAACCAAAAATACAGAAAACTTTGGAAACCTGATCAGAGCCAGCCAGCATTGTGTGGGACGGGGGGGGGGGGAGGGGGGAGATAATCTGATAAAGTTTTTATCGTTCAGGTCAGATTTATTTATGCCTTTGACCTTCTGTACTCCTCTTCCAAGCATTCTTAGTGACCACTTTCCTCCCATCTTTCAATTTTAGATAGGAGGGCTCTGTGGAGGCTTACTTCCTAGGTACCATGTCCATTCTTAATGTGTCGGGGCCTGCTCACAGATTCAGGCAGGTGATGTGTTCATATTACTGCTGCCACCAGTGGCGACCCTACCACTGAGCCTCGCCGAGTGGGCCTCACCTTGCTGGCAGAAGACCCTGCCCAGGAGCCTCTAAAGCTCCCACACCCAGGGCAAGCTCAGGCCTGAGCTCTGCATGGGGCAAGTGCTGCCGCTCTGCTGTCACCGCCAGCAACCCTCCCGTCCAAAGGCACGCAGCTTTCACTCCGTGAGCCGTCACTGTCTCCTGCCACGGCCAGCACTAGCTCTTTCCTCTGGAGCTAAGGGGTTTTCAACACGTGTGTTCTTTCTACAGACTCCGAGAGGACCATGGAGGTCTGCCACAACACGCTGACCAACTCCTTAAGCATTGTGCCAGTGTTGGAGGGGCCCACCCCACCACCTGACTCCAGAAGCACGCCTCACGACGGCAGCGGGCAGCAGGAGTGCTACCTCGTGTTCATAGGCTGCTCCCTGAAGGAAGAAAGTGTCAAGGACTGGTTGCGGCAGTCAGCTAAGCAGGTGACTCCTGTAGGCCACACAGACCAGTGCTCCCAGAGGCAGATTTCCCCGCTGACCCACCCTGGAAGGCCTGGTTGGAACCTTCGGGGTACTGGGAACAAAGTCTAGGCAGCTAGGTTAGGCATCCCACCCTGGGCACACAGCTTCTCCCGGTCATTTCCACTTCCGTCCACAGGCGGACTGGAGCCCCGGTGGTTCAACTGGGACCTGGATTCAGCCTTGGTTTCATAAGGCTCTTGGGTCTGCCTGGTGTTCCAAACCCCAAAAACCTAATGCTACGACTCCTGTTCTGAGCCCACACTCTCCTGTGCTTGTGTTCTGCCCCTAGAAGTAGTAACAGCAAAGTTAGGGGTAGGGCTGTTTACCAACAAAGGCTCCAAGTGCGGCCAGCCCTGGAGGCAGGGAGGGGAGGCTGGCATCTTTAGCCTGAGGCTGCAGAGAAGAGCCCCGCAGGGTTAAAGTCCTTCAACTGGAGAAAGAGGAGACTTTTGACTCAGAAACCCTATAGGGTCACTATGGCAGTGAGTTTGTTTTGGGGATTGGTGACTTTTACGACTCTGGCCTCTGATAAAGTCAGCTTGTCTCAAATAATAATAATTTATAAATGATCAAGGGTTCATGAGGGAGGGAGGGCTGGGAGGAAGGGCAAAAAATGAGCTGATACCAAGGGCTCAAGTAGAAAGCAAATGTTTTGAGAATGATGATGGCAACAAATGTACAAATGTGCTTGACACGATGGATGGATGGATTGTGATAAGAGTTGTAGGAACCCCCAGTAAATTTTTTAATCACCCTGTCTGCCATTGATGGAGCTCCGGGATGAGAACCTAAGGAGAAGCAGGAACACGGCCCCTTGCCCAGCCCTGGCACTTCTCTGCCCTTGATCCCTGGCACTTGGGGCTTTGTGGTGGGAAGGTAGTCTTCCTGAGCCTGGTCAGCCCGGCCGTTAGGCCAGGCCAAGAGAGTTCATGTGCTTTCCTCTTTGCTGGGGTCTTACTGGTGTAGCTGCCCTCATACCCCAAGAGTTTACCCACTCATGTATTCCCCCCATCTGCTCTTCTGGGACCTGACCCCTTCATCTCTGCACAGAAGCCTCAGAGGAAAGCCCTGAAGACCAGAGGGATGCTGACCCAGCAGGAGATCCGGACCATCCACGTGAGTGCCTTCAGAGCCTGACTCTCCCCTCATGTTCCAGGGCTGCCCTTCTAGGCTTACAGAACTCCACCCGCTAGGACTTGCTGCCGGAGGGTGCTATGTGTAGGGCATGCTGGTATCCTGGCTTGTCTTCAGCCAGAGGGCAACTGGCTAAAGAGAAACCCGGTCACTTCAGTGAGGAGGAGGGTAGGGCAGCCTCCCATGTGACCTTGGTGTGCGGAGAGCCAGTGCCTGCTGGAGAAATCTGTGCTGTGGCATGGTGTGTGTGTGTGTGTGTGTGTCACTGCTTTGTCATCCTATCAAACATCTATAGCAGTCCTTTGCTCTCCCTCAACCTCTGCCCTGGATTAGTCACATATAAACCACTCAGGGCCCCAGGGAAAAGCTGTCTAGATCTAGAAGTTGCATATAGGAAGATCGTAGAATCCAGGAAGATGAACCCTCCCTCTCTCCAAGCTGTTCTAGCCTCTGCCCCAGCTCCTGGGCCCTCACTGTAACCTTTGCCTATGGAGCATAGAGGCAAAGGTTAAAAGGAGCACTGAGCAGACCCCAGGATGGGCTGCGTCACCAGTTCCAATAATGAATGGGTGGCACAGGACAGTGCTACTCTGGGTCCCCCCCGAGCCCCTGCTTTATGTTCGAGGAGATACCTTCATTCTGACCCCTGCCGCGTCTGGGTAGCCCATTGTGCTGGTAAGGCAGTGTGTGTGTGTCCGGGAACAGACCCTGAGCAAGGATCTGAGTGTGGACAGATGCTTTGGGAGGTGATTCTGGTAGGGAAGTAAGAGAGGAGAGGAAAGGGGAGACAGACAAAAGAGAACGTGTTATCAAACGGGTCCCTTGTGGACAGCAAGGGGCCTGATCCCTTAAGAACCCCAGCTCCCGGAGTCCTCCTCTCAGAGCTGGGAACCTCTATCAGCCTTTGCTTGAGGGCTGTTGGGAGGATGTCAATTCCCTGGCACTTTGAACCTTCCACAGGGCAGTATACATACCTTGCTGGGGTAATAGATTGGTTGGTTGGTTTTTAATGAGTGAATGGATGACAGAAAGTGGTTTCTGGTAATATTAATAGAACTCTTTTTTTTTCCTACAGGTGAAACGCCACCTGGACCCCCTACCTGCAGGCTACTTTTATAATGGAACTCAGTTTGTCAACTTCTTCGGTGACAAGACTGATTTTCACCCCCGTATCCTTGGTGCACTTGGTCGCTGGGTGAAGGCGGGGGTGAGGGTGAGCAACCTGTAAAGGGGTGTTGGCCTGAGCCCCCAGAGCAATCCAAAAGGACAGACTTGTAAGGTCATTAGAATGGGACTTCCCCTCTATCCGGTGGCTGTGGACTGACCATGGCTAGTGCTCGTTTAACTGCTCCCCCAATGGGTGACCCAACTCCTGGAAAACTCAGATGACGACCACAATTTACAGGTAGGAAAGTGCCGGGTTACACCGACCTGGAGAGTCCACGAGAGGCTGTTGTCAAAGGTAAGGTGCTGCTCTGTGCTGAAAACAGCCCAAGAACTCCTTTCCAGGTCCTCCTGAAGGACTCTGTGCCAACCCCTGTCCACCTTCTGTGATGCCATCACTCTAAAGAGCCCGTGAGGCACTTCCATGGGGGCCGGCCACTAGCTGCCTCAGTGCTCCCCAACCCCCACCCACTGGTCCCGCTGAGTCCGAGGCAGGCTCCCTGGACTTCTGGGCTCAGGGCTTATCTTCCTTTTTTTTTT